CCCACCCCGGCTGTCGTCTAGGGCCCTAAAATAACCTAGAGGTTGAACTTACGCCCTGCGACAGGCCCAGGGGATTCTCATCCGAATGGTGACACTTTATGTCACCGGGTGCTTAACCCTCGTTGCGGGATTGAACGTCATTCAGTGAGCCAGTCGATAAAACCCAGATTCTTGACAAATTCCTCTCCAGTCCAGGTTAGAAGGAGGAAAAAGAAATAGAAATATAGAAACAAGAGCAATAATATTGACAAAAAAAAAAAAAAAAAAAAAAAGAGAAGGTCGGGGTGGTGGTCTCAGAAGCAGATGAAGAAGAAGAACAACAATAACAACAACAATAGCAACAAGAATAACATACATCAATAGTAACAAGTTTTTGAGACAAGTAACACGTTTCTGGGACAATGGGCATGTCCAACAGTTAAAGTTAGTCGCATCTCTTTTACATGACTCACAGTACCTCCTTCGAAACCACTAAGTCGTCTTGTCTCTGGCCGAAATAATAACACCATCCGGTAATTCTGTGCAGCGGGGAAGCAGCCCTGAGCTTCATGAACTCAGGTGGGCCCACCTCCGAATACGTTTAGGAATCGTGGGCCGAAACGTGTGTCGAAAGAGGATAATTTCTACTGATGACTGTAGATCCCCGCTGTACTTGCTCCCTGTGAGTTTATTCTTATTGTACGTGGCTAGCCCACAAGACTACCAGGAAAGACTGGTGACTATCGGGAAAGTCCTTTTGACACCTATGGAAAGACTGGCCCCCCGGTATCGCCGGGGGGGGGGGGGGGGGGGGAAACTGACATCTGGAGACAGATGTCGACTGTGGACCGGGTTGATCACCCCTAACACAGTATAATACCTCCGATTTCGTACGACCACAATGAAATATGCCCCCAGGGCCCTCCGAAAGGGGGGGGGGGGGGGGAGAATGAAGGGCCCAATCTGATTGATACCCTCGTTGACGACTTTGCTAGCCCCCGGACTGAGACACTCGCCCAACGTCCGGGCTGGCTCTGTACATGTGGGAAAAGCTTCACGGGGTTGCATGGTCTAAGAACGCATGCCGGAAGAATGAAATGCGAGGGTGCTCCACGCAGTAAACGCCGTCGCAAAAACTACCACTCCTGTGGTAGTTTCTGAGTCGTCAGGGTACGACGGGCAGGGTGAACCCCACTCGCCCGGAGAGGCCCATGACGTCGACTGCGGAGGAGCACCTTTGATGATTTCTGAAGAAGTGCGTTCCAAGATCAGGTTTCCACCTGCGAGCGAGAAGGTGGTGTGGTGTAAGTTGGAGGTTACATTATGTGAGATACTTAAACAAACTCTAAACAAGAAGCCGCTAGGCGACAAGCTTACTAAATTTGGTGATGTAATATATGAACACTGCTCCCGCGTGTTCGGGACAGTAGTAAAGGCACAGCCGGGTGCCAAGCAGAATATTAGCAGAATGCAGAGGGACATTCTGAAGTGTCGGGCAGACAAGAATGCCCTCAGAAAACGGTTCAAAGCCGCTACAGGCAGCGAACGGGAGGGGCTGTACGAAGTTTGGTTGCATTTAAAGAACAAACACAGTGCCCTCTGTCGTGCCGAGCGTTTCTGTAACAACAGACGGAGAACCAAAAGGGAGCGAGAGAAATTCTTTAGGGACCCGTATGTTTGCCCGAGGTCTATTCGAGCAACCGAAGTCTGGGACTCTGGTTGTCAGTCAGGAAGAACTAGAGCTACATCTACGCAAGATGTACTCGGATAAAAAGAGGAGAGAGCCTCTCGATGACAATCCAGAGATCCTTAGCGGACTCAAACAGCCTTCGGTGCCGAAGGTACCATTTAAAATGGTACCTCCCCTTTGGTCTGAGGTTGAGGACGTTGTGAAAAAAAGCCAGCGGCAAGTCTGCCCCAGGTCCGAACGGTGTTCCGTAAGTTCTTTACAAGCGTTGCCCGAAAATCCTTAAAATGCTTCACGTCTTGTTGAGACAAGCGTGGATCCGCAATCACATATGTCCAGAGTGGTCAAAGGCAAATGGGGGTCTACATTCCCAAAGAGCAGGACTCGAAGAGTCTTTCCCAATTCAGGCCCATCTCGCTGTTGAATGTCGAGGGTAAGATATTCTTCTCAGTCATGGCTCGCCGGCTCACACAGTATCTGATGACTAATAAGTACATAGATACGAGTGTTCAGAAGGGTGGTATCCCAGGCGTTCCTGGGTGCCTTGAACACGCGACCATGATTTGGGAGGCTATCCAGAGAGCCAAGCATGAGAGAACCGATTTGCACGTTATATGGTTGGACTTAGCCAACGCCCACGGGGCAGTCCCCCATAGGCTACTGTGGCGAGCCCTTCGCATGTTTCACGTACCGACACAGATCAGTCAAATGGTCGAGCAATATTTCTCTAAGTTCGCTTTGCGCTTCTCTACCTCGACGTTTACCACGAGGTGGACTGAGTTGCAGATTGGGATAGCTATGGGCTGTACGATCTCACCTATACTGTTTGTCATGGCAATGCAGATCGTGTTAGACGGGGCGGCCGGCTACGGACTGGGCCTTCAAATAGGGGATCACTGGTTGCCGCCACTGCGCGCATTTATGGATGACACGACTATTATAACGGGCAGCGAGGAGTCTGCCCGCACGATCCTGGAAAGTTTGGACGCGGTGGTCCAATGGAGCGGTATGCAGTTTAAACCGCAGAAGTCGAGGAGTCTGTCAATCCATAAGGGCAAGGTTTCGGCAATCAGTTTTACGGTGGCAAGGAACAAGATCCCTACGGTTCTGGAGGAACCGGTGAAGAGTCTCGGTCGCGTTTACGATTCGAAGTTATCTGACAGAGCGGAAGTCCGGCTAATACACGAGTCACTGGCTACAGGCCTGCTCGCGATCGAGCGATGCAGGCTGGTCGGGAAATTCAAGGTATGGTGTCTCCAATTCATGTTGATTCCGAAGCTCCTATGGCCACTGCTAGTCTATGAGGTGACGATGACTGCAGTTGAAGCCATGGAGAAAAAAATCAACACAGCCTTAAGAAAGTGGATTGGAGCACCGCCTTGTCTGACCGACGTGGCTCTGTATTGCAAACAGGCTAAGCTGGTACTTCCGTTCAAGTCGATAACAGAAGAGTTTAAAGTCGGCAAGGTAAGACTCGCCATGCTTCTGCGCGAGTCTTCAGACCCAAATGTCATCGCTGTCCAGCCCGCTCTAAAGACTGGAACCAAGTGGAGAGTCCTCGATGCGATTGAATCTGCTCAGAACGCACTAAAATTGAAGGAGATTATGGGTTACACACAAACCGACCGTCGAGGCCTAGGGCACGGGAAGGTCAATTGGTGGTCAAAGGCCTCAGCCAAGGAGCGCCGAGACATGGTGATACAAACGGTGAGGGACAACGAAAACGAGGTTCGGGTCCAGAAAGCAGCCCAGCAGTCGCAGCAGGGCCATTGGGTCAGCCTGGAGAGCGCATTGCCGAGAATACTCACATGGGGTGAGATCTGGCGGATGACCCCGCTGCGACTGAGCTTTATCGTTCGTTCGGCGTACGATGTATTACCGTCCGGTGTTAACATGGTTAAATGGTCTGCGACCAACGATCCGACTTGCCCGTTGTGCAAATCAAAGCAAACTCTTGAGCACGTCCTGTCCGCGTGCAGGAAAGCTCTAGGTCAAGGCCGCTATACCTGGCGCCACAACAAGGTGCTAAAGGAGTTAGCAGCCGTTGTCGACCAGGCTAGAATGAGGGCTAATGCCAGAGCCAGTTCTAGTATCGTCCCCATTCGTTTCCTCAAGGCTGGGCAGGTTCCAAAAGGTAAGGTCAACCAAAAACGCATTCGCTCCATCGGTGCTAGACTCTGCGAGGGACTGGTTACTGGCGGTTGATCTGCCAGGACATGAACGGTATCCCGAGTTGATCCGTAAAACCGGCCTGCGACCGGACATCGTTCTCCATTCTGCGCAAAAACGGCAACTCATCCTGATTGAGTTAACGGTCCCGTTTGAGTCGCGGATGGAGGAGAATCATTTGTATAAGCTCGAGAAATACAGTGATTTAGCAGCCGGTTTGAGGAGAAACGAGGCTTACACAGTACGGGTATTTGCCGTCGAAGTGGGAGCGAGAGGCCTCGTTTCCACTTCGCTCTACAATGTGGTAAAAGAACTAGGATTGCGCGGTAATGAACGGAAACGAACACTCAAAAAACTGGGAGAGGCAGCCGAAAGGGCCTCTAGCTGGCTGTGGACGCAGCGCAACAACGTAGGGGACGGGCCTCGGTGAGCTGGTCCGGTTGTCTAGCGGAAAGGAGTTTCTCATCCCTTTGAAAGTCCATCGTGTACGAATTGTCTGCCAGTGTCCCTCTGCCAACTGCTAATAAAAGTCCAACATGTGTCCGGTAAACCAAGGTAAGCTTGTCGCTAGGTCGTCCAGGCATGCGGACTGTTCTAATTACGCTGCCGTGGCGGCTTCTTATCTCACAGTACCTCCTTCGAAACCACTAAGTCGTCTTGTCTCTGGCCGAAATAATAACACCATCCGGTAATTCTGTGCAGCGGGGAAGCAGCCCTGAGCTTCATGAACTCAGGTGGGCCCACCTCCGAATACGTTTAGGAATCGTGGGCCGAAACGTGTGTCGAAAGAGGATAATTTCTACTGATGACTGTAGATCCCCGCTGTACTTGCTCCCTGTGAGTTTATTCTTATTACTTATCATGACATTGCAGAACCAACCCCAGGCTGTTGTGATGTTTCTAGGCAAATTTACATGCAGTAGTTTTCTGTGCCCACGCAACGTTCGGCTCTCGGTACCACTGTCGAAACCAACGCAAGACGCAAGGCCCGCAGCTGGGAATCGAACCCGGCACTCCAGCCTTGTGCGTTGGCAACGCCTAAGCCACAGACGCCGACATGTCTAACAGAGACAGAGGTAATCTTGTCAAGACGAACTAGACATTTATATGTTAGGGGGGGAACGAACCACAAAACGAAACACAGACAATTTCGACGACCTTTTACCTGGTCACGGTTGGGTAATCATAGTAGTTTCTCATCTGGAAGTAGATGACGGTTCCCAGGAGGAAGGCCATCACACAGACCACGCAGCTCCAGAAGATACTAGATGGGTAAGATAACATTTAGGAATTTTACACGTGTTGTCAATCAACATCATCATTATCTTTGTCGTCTTCATCTTCATCTTCATCATCATCACCATCATCGTTATCCTCATGATCATCATCGTCATCATCATCATCATCATCATTATCATCATCATCATCATCATCATCCTCAAAAATCCTTTTTTTAACACTCTGGTACTGTTTGAATTTGAACCTAAGACTATAGGATCCGCAGGGGAGGGTCTAACCTCGACACCACGCAGTTTTCATGTGTCACATAGGGCTCGCTGTCTATTACGTCATTCCTGTAAAAACTGTGCAATCCTTTCGATAGTGTGGAACTGATGGCCTCTCTCACCAACGTTCACGGCTATTTATTTAGACATCCTCCTTTGCTTAACCCGCTCGCTTCAATGTCCATCTGGTGATTCTCCACTTGCTTCAATGTCCATTTGGTGATTCTCCACTCGCTTCAATGTCCATTTGGTGATTCTCCACTCGCTTCAATGTCCATTTGGTGATTCTCCACTCGCTTCAATGTCCGTTTGGCGATTCTCCACTTGCTTCAATGTCCGTTTGGCGATTCTCCACTTGCTTCAATGTCCGTTTGGTGATTCTCCACTTGCTTCAATGTCCGTTTGGTGATTCTCCGCTCGCTTCAATGTCCGTTTGGCGATTCTCCACTTGCTTCAATGTCCGTTTGGAGATTCTCCACTTGCTTCAATGTCCGTTTGGCGATTCTCCACTTGCTTCAATGTCCGTTTGGTGATTTTAAGATGAGGACACGATATAAGTGACAAAGTGAGTAGAAAAGTAGGACACTGCACGCTCAACTACTACATGCATTAAATAAAGATTGGACAGTCCCCACAGTGTGTCTGTCGGACAGGACCAGAAACACCCCAGCACATTCTGCAGACCTGCACACTCTACCAACAACTTCGAAAAGAAACCTGGCCTCAAGAGCAAAGTGGGCAGAGCCAGCTATGGGGAACCGTGAAGGACCTGCAGCTGACAAGATACTTCATAGAAGCAACCCACCTGATGGTTTGATTTGAGCATACGAAACTGAACGCAAAGAAGATTAAGAAGAAGAAGAAGAAGAAAAAGAAGAAGAAGAAGAAGAAGAAGAAGAAGAAGAAGAAGAAGAAGAAGAAGAAGAAGAAGAAGAAGAGAAGAAGAAGAAAGAAGAAAAAGAAGAAGAAGAAGAAGAAGAAGAAGAAGAAGAAGAAGAAGAAGAAGAAGAAGAAGAAGAAGAAGAAGAAGAAGAAGAAGAAGAGAAGAAGAAGAAGAAGAAGAAGAAGAAGAAGAAGAAGAAGAAGAAGAAGAAGAAGAAGAAGAAGAAGAAGAAGAAGAAGAAGAAGAAGAAGAAGAAGAAGAAGAAGAAGAAGAAGAAGAAGAAGAAGAAGAAGAAGAAGAAGAAGAAGAAGAAGAAGAAGAAGAAGAAGAAGAAGAAGAAGAAGAAGAAGAAGAAGAAGAAGAAGAAGAAGAAAAAGAAGAAGAAGAAGAAGAAGAAGAAGAAGAAGAAGAAGAAGAAGAAGAAGAAGAAGAAGAAGAAGAAGAAGAAGAAGAAGAAGAAGAAGAAGAAGAAGAAGAAGAAGAAGTAAGGACATTAAGGACACAAGCTTGGGAGAAACCAAAATTTCTTTTAGGCAGCCCGTGATGAGTCATATTCTGTAAAGGACCTGCCAAATCATGACAACGATCCATACTCCAGCCTACAAGCAAATGAAACTGCAACAATTGCAGTCAACATCTATAATCAATCGCTTAATTGCTTATGCCACACAAACAGCTGTTCTTTTATTTAGGTGTCTATTTTCCTGCACTTTTTGCAGGGATAAAATGAAGCACCTCCACGATTTAGCTTGACACGGCAATACTTTAGCAGCATTAAATATTTAACCCTTGAACCGGTGCTGCTTCAGAAATCGCCAAGTTAAATTACACCCACTATCATTTGATTAATCCTGCCTAATGGTTTGATCACATATTTGATGGGCTGATGACATTTGATAAATAAGATCTGGCGAACGCGGTGAAACATGTTAGGGCTCTTTGGCTGAAATAAAAAGAAAACTTATTTCACACAACAAAAACAACATCTGTTATGACTTGTTTTTGAAGATGAGGCTTCGCAAACAACAGTATATTGCAGGACGCGTTGTAGGGGAGGGGGCGGGGGAATAATAACAAAAATAACAAGAAAAACTTAGACGGACAAAATGAAAAATAGGACAGGAATACATAAATTTTGAATGTGGCTGACATCGAAATGCTAACAAAAAAACACATGTGAAACAATTAAAATATCGAATTCTACCCGCAGATGCCCATCTACAGAAAAATAGGATGCATTTCATGGAAACAAAAACAGTCGAAATGCACAGATTATCGAGAGACCAGTAAGAAGAGAGGAAAAACTGAAAAGGAGAAATATTTCTGCCCTTTTAACAGATGGAACACTATTCTAAAAACGATCTGAGTGTGAAAGGTCAAAGGCAAAACAGCATAGCCTAACTCAATAGGACACACAATGAGAAATCATGATAATGTTAGAACTAGTTTGCATTTGCACTGAAATCCACTGGCTTAATAACTAAAGGAAGACAAAACATTTCCTGGAAACAAGACCATAAACGAAAGCGTATAAAGCGGAGTGGACGAAGAAAGTTGCATGAGGTGGCGAAGGATATGAGGACCGGGTGCGAGTTGTCTGATGACAGCCCGTGCTTCCTCTGGGCATCTATGACATAAGAAGTCGTTGCAGTAATAGTAGCAGCAGCAGCAGCAGCAGCAGCAGCAGCAGTAGCAGCAGCAGTAGCAGCAGCAGCAGAGCAGCAACAAGAATAGTAGTAGCAGAAACACTAAACTCGTGTTCTTGCAGCGATTCTTGATGAAAAACAAAACACAAACAGGGGTAGTAAGCCTTGCGCCAACGTCCTATTGTAGGTGTGTGTGTGTGAGTGGTGTATGTGCGTATGTGTGTGTATGTATGTGCATGTGTATGTATCTGTGTGTGTATGTGTATGAGTGCACCATGCCACACCCAACCTTTATAAAAGTCTTATGCTCTCATCCCCCGCCCTGCTCTCATCCCCCGCCCTGCTCTCATCCCCCGCCCTGCTCTCATCCCCCGCCCTGCTCTCATCCCCCGAAGAAGAAGAAGAAGAAGAAGAAGAAGAAGAAGAAGAAGAAGAAGAAGAACAAGAAGAACAAGAACAAGCCTTTACTTTCCAAAACTTTTACCTGGTACCCCATTTAAAGCTGGGTCGACCTGGGAGCCAAGGTTATATTGGAAAGAAATCTGGAGACATGGGAATGTGAACCCACAACCTTCGGATTGTCAGGCGAGCGTCTAGCTGCTACACCAACGGGGCTTAAAGATAAAGATACTAAACAACAACAACAACAACAACAACAACAACATCATCAACAACAACAACAACAACAACAACAACAACCCAGACATCGAAACGAAATTTAACTCCGATAATTTTTTGCAGACATAGAAGAAAGAATAAAGTGAACTAAAAAGACATGGGAAACACTTATATAGAACATTTTCGTGTCTCAACAAACTACATCGTCATATACACCAGTGGTTCTAAAACTTGTTGACTCGTAGAACCTTAGACAGGCTATAACAAAAATTCAATTTCAGTAGATTGCCATTGCTTTCTGGGAAGTGGGCGCCCTGATACCACTGTCGAAACCAACGCAAGGCGAATGGCCCGCAGCTGGGATCGAACCCGGCATCCCGGCATTACGAAGCGTTCGCATCGACTTAGCCACAGAGCCGAATATAAAACATGCCTGAGTGTAAAACAAAAAAATATTTTTTTTTTTACATTGGCAAGGGTGTATCTGCAATAATTTCAATTATTAGCCGACTTTTCTTAATTATTGCACAGCACCCCGGTGTACGCTCGCAGCACCTCTGGTGTACGCTCGCGGCCCCCCTGGTGTAAGCTCGCGCCCCCCCCCCTGGTGTACGCTCGCGGCCCCCCTGGTGTACGCTCGCGGCCCCCAGTTTGAGAGTCGCTGATATAGAAAGTAACAAGAGACGATGAAAGACTGTCAAAAATCTTCTTACTGACGTCCTCTGTACAGCTCTGAACCGACGATGGTTGGAATTCCATGCATGGTTGAGTTTTTGGCGTAGTACATTAATAAATCCTGGGGAATATAAACAGCAAAAAATGAAAAAAAAAGTGTTTAAATATTATGAAATATTTAAGGACAATGTACAGTTTCTATAACATGTTAAAGAGGGGGAAAAAACACATAATTCTTTCAAATAGTATGATATGTGCAACATTTTTTTTTTTTTTTTAAATAAAACATTATGATAAAATGTATTTAAATACTGTAATATGCTCAAAAATGTGTTAAAATGGTAAAACATGTTTAAGAAACTGTTTCCAAATTTTATAACATGTTCAAGAAGATTTTTTCGAATAATGTTCAGAAAACTGTTTTCAAATACCATGTCACAAGACAATGATTTCACAATATTATAAAAAGTCCAAGAAAATGCTCGAATATTAAAACATGTTCAAGAAAATTTGTTTAACTATTGTAACATGTTTAATCAAACAATCTGTAGTTTGAATAAAATGTTTAAGAGAGAGGGGAAAAATGTGTTTTGTCAATACCATATTAATTATTATGTCATTATATGCTTCTCCAACAGGTTTAACTGTATGCTGACAACAGAGACGCAGTCTGGGCTGCTCCAGCCACAATTAAGACAAAATTGAATGGTACACGAGAACATATGGATTCCACGATAGCTTTGATAAAGGCTACCGGCCTCCTGAAATAGGTTTTCTGACAGAAGGATCGAAGAAGAAGAAGAAAACTAAGAAGAAGAAGAAAACTAAGAAGAAGAAGAAGAAGAAGAAGAAGAAGAAGAAGAAGAAGAAGAAGAAGAAGAAGAAGAAGAAGAAGAAGAAGAAGAAGAAGAAGAAGAAGAAGAAGAAGAAGAAGAAGAAGAAGAAGAAGAGGAGGAGGAAGAAGAAGAAGAAGAAGAAGAAGAAGAAGAAGAAGAAGAAGAAGAAGAAGAAGAAGAAGAAGAAGAAGAAGAAGAAGAAGAAGAAGAAGAAGAAGAAGAAGAGGAAGAGGAAGAAGAAGAAGAAGAAAAGAAGAAGAAGAAAAGAAGAAGAAGAAGAAGAAGAAGAAGAAGAAGAAGAAGAAGAAGAAGAAGAAGAAGAAGAAGAAGAAGAAGAAGAAGAAGAAGAAGAAGAAAAAGCAGCAGCAGCAGTAGCCGCAGCAGCAGCCTGATGATTAATTAGGCGCGACGTAAATGTGTACAACGTGATGCCCTCAGAAGAAAAGTGGCCGGTCCGATAGTAACCAGGTCAACCTATTTACCTTTCACAAATATTGGCCTGGCACTACATTGATCTTTAGGTCGTGGATTCAGGTCCCGGACTTCTCTATAGAAAAATGACCTGGGTTCTCAGGTCGACCCAGCCTGACATGGGTACGAGGTAATGTCCGGGGAAGTAAAGGTGGTCGGCCTGATATTAACAACATCACCCACTGAGTGCCGATTGGTCTATAAAATATGGGTCTAGCCCTATATACCCAGTACAGCTGAAGGTGTCTTCCGTTCTTTACGTTGACTATAAACTTGTGATCGTTACTTTTATTCTTCAACTAACATTTTTCAACAGATTTAATTTAAAATACATAATGGTTAAAAAACGTGTTTATTTACCTAACTAAACAAAATTTTTTAAAAATAAAACGTGAAGCAAACGTAAGACGATATACTTAACATAGACTATAAATTTAAATTGTGGGGAGAGTGCATTATGATTGGGGGGTGAGGGGTGGAGAAAGTGTGTGTGTGAGGTGGGGGGGGGGGAGGACCGATGAGTATGCAAAACTCAAATTCTAGAACAAGACTAAAGTGCAGAAGTGGACGAGCAACCAGAACTTTCCACCGGAGTTTAGTCCGTGAACGCTAAGAACAAGACGAAGACATATTTAAATCAATCAAATTAGGTGGTGCAGTAGTTTGTGTTTTAGCCCCTCTACAGTTATTAGAGCTATCAGCACCAGCCGAAAGAGATTGACATGTCTCTTGTCCTCCCCATACAGGAAATCAGGGTTCATGAAGCAGACTGGAGTTCATACAAGGCACCGCGGTTCATACAGGAGACCGGGGTTCATACAAGAGACAGGGGTTCATACAGGAGACTGATGTTCTTACAGGAGACCGGGGTTCATACAGGAGACCGGGGTTCATACAGGAGACCGGGGTTCATACAGGAGACCGGGGTTCATACAGGAGACCGGGGTTCATAAGGAGACCGGGGTTCCTAAGGAGACTGGAGTTTATACATGTGACTGGTGTTTATTTAGAAAATGGGTTCATAAAGGAGACCTGGGTGGATAGAGGAGATCTGGGGTTCATACTGGAGACAGAGATTCTTAAGGAGACAGAGGTTCATACAGAGTCCCGGAGTTCATAAGGAGACCAGGGTTCATACATGAGACCAGGGTTCATGCATGAGACCAGGGTTCATACAGGAGACCTAGGGTTCATACCGGAGACCAGGGTTCATACAGGAGACCTAGGGTTTATACAGGAGACCTAGGGTTCATACCGGAGACCTAGGGTTCATACAGGAGACCAGGCTTCATACAGGAGACCTAGGGTTCATACTGGAGACCAGGGTTCATACATGAGACCAGGGTTAATACAGGAGACCTAGGGTTCATACCGGAGACCAGGGTTCATACATGAGACCAGGGTTCATGCATGAGACCAGGGTTCATACAGGAGACCTAGGGTTCATACAGGAGACCAGGGTTCATACATGTGACCAGGGTTCATACAGGAGACCTAGGGTTCATACAGGAGACCAGGGTTCATACCGGAGACCTAGGTTTCACTGCTCGGTGAGGGATGGGCATTTCTGCAAAAAATAAAACTCCTGAACGGTAAAGTCTTGAATAATGCACTGGTTATGTGGTCCCAGCATCCCAGACTCATGATGTCCTAGTAATAAGCCGTTCTAAAAGTTGTAGACGCGTGCAGCAAAGACAGTTTTACGGTTGAAAGTAAAGTAAGGAATTAAATATTGTAAAACTGAATATGAGTATTGACTGAAGTGTAGACACTACGTATAAATGCAAAAGCAGATTTAGTTTTAAAAGTTGGAGTAAGTTGCTTATGGAAATATTTAACAATTATAAGCTATGAAAATACAGGGTAAATGGTAGTCCAGAACACAGTAGAAAAAAGAAACTTAAAAAGAAAACGCAGAGAGAATGATAGTAATAATAGTAATAGCAGTTAGACATTATTGTAAATTATCGCGCAATATGTGCCCTTATACACACACACACACGTACACACACACACACACACACACATATATATATATATATATATAAATATATATATATATATATATATATATATATATATATATACATATACATACATATATAATAGTAAGAAAAAGTTAAAAATACACACGGCTGGACGTGATTAAAAAAAATAACTAACGGAAATATGGTAGGTTTGTGTTGTAAGATATAATTTGAGGAATAAAAAATTATTAAAGATCAATGGGCAGATATGGTGCCAAAATGTACAATTAAAAAAAAAGACAATGAAACATTTCAATTGCGATCTACAATATATAACAAGAAGAAATAATTAATGAAAAATAGTTGTCTATCCTCTTAAGCTTAAGGGGGCACATAGGGCAGAGGTCGTAGCTCTCCATGTCTTGCGGTTTGTTGCCACCTGATTTAGGGTCTTGGATGTTCGTTAGGCCCATGGTTGAGCCCTCCCTGATGATGCTTCTACGCAGTCTCTCTTGGTCTTCTTCGTTTCATTTTCGCTTAGGTGTCTATATGATGGCATGATGAGGGAAGGATTCTTGTCTGATCCATCCTGACTCCATGGCTGATGTTGTTCTAGCAGCGCTTTCTTGTAAAACTGGATACATTGTCTTGCTTGATCTCTTTGTCTTATTTGCATATTGGATTTGAATCCACTGGAGATTTTTAATATTCTCCAGAACATTTATTCTTATAATTGTTTTTAAATATCCAGAGCTACCGCAGCTTTCCAACTCTGGCATCCATACGTAAGCACTGGAATCCAATGACACAAGAGTTGTGAACGATCTAAAAGTTAGAATAAGTCGCTAGTCTTTAGCTGAAGTTCCAGCTTCACAGCAAATTGGTCACCTCATTATTTTTCCCTTGCTGTGCCACAGGTTGTTCCATTTAAAAAATAGTGAAAAGCGAAAAATAAATTAGTCCCAGACAAAGGTATAAGCTCGCACAGGAAAGTGAACGCATAAATAAGGCTTGTCGCTGGATGTGCCAGTACTAACAGACCTCCACCAGAGTTTATGCACATTGTTTTTGGACTGAATCAGTCACGACAAGCCGGTATTTGAACTCAGTACAAAATAATAGAGGACGCGACAGTATGCAAATATCACCAGCCATTTTTGTGTGCGGTTGAATTAACAACATAATGCCGCGCAGATAAAAACTTTATTTCCCATAAAACGCACAGTAACCCTTAATAAAGCAGACAGTGTCGGTGGCGTAGACGTTGGTAAGGTGCATCATAATTCCACAGAATCCGGTTCAATTTCAACTGCGGACGATTTGGCAGCAAATGATGTCATGTTGATTTCGACGTTGGTGTTGGGCGCCGACCATTGAGTAAATAGTGTTAAAACAAGTGAACGTAAAATTTCTTAGATTAAAAAAAAAAAATGCTAGAGTTGGATGTGCAACTTCCTATAAAGAATACTCTTTTCTTCGCTTCCACCTTGTACCCTAGTGAAGTGTCGGGGGGAGATGTAATGTTCGTTGATGAGGACTGATGTTCATTTCTGTAAGGCTGTTCTTAATGCCATCACTCCATATTTTCCGAGGTCTTCCACTCGCTCTATACCCGTTGTAACGTTTTAGTGTGGCTCGCTGTGGCAGATAGTACCAGGGCATTCTAGTTAGGTGTTGAAATCACTTCATTTGTTGTTCTTTGATGACCTGTAAGACTGGCGTTATTCCTAGCATTCGTCTGATTTCATGATTTCTTATTCTGTCTTTCCTTGAAACTCCTGCATTTCTTCTAAGGCATTTCATCTCTGTTGTCA